ATCGGATTAGCCATTAATTTGGACACTTATCCACCAGCACTGTCAATTACAAATGCTGCTTCCTTTCATCTGTGCCAACACCTGTGCGCTTCTATATTTAGGACAAACTTAAACAATAACGCTGGCTGTTAGCGGATCATCCCCCCAACCCAAAACAGAGAGAGCTCTAGGATTATAAGGGGTTTCACATGGGTGCCCTTGGGTCATTGGAGCTTGGGTGCGACTCATAGGCCACACACACACACACACACACACACACACACACACCACGAAGCACCATGTTGTCTATATAGATCACTGGTGTCCACATCTTCCCTCGACTGCCTGTGCCTGTGTTTAAAACCACTTTTACGTCATTTGTAACAGTTTCTTTGCAGCAGCTCGAACAACTAAAACGTTTGGGGACAACTTGCACACAAAGGCAGCACTGTTCTCGCATCCAGACTCCTCCCCTCTGTGGTCCTAGCAGGAGGCCCGAAAGCTTATCTTTTTAAAAACGCATGGTTTGGAACGTATGCAAACACGTGAACTACTATAACATAGATGTAATTGTCAAAGTATACAATGAATGAGGCATAGAGACGTTTATGGCTGATGGAATAAGCACAACAGGCCATTATGAAGTGATGTAGTTTTAAATTATAGTAGTGAGATTGTCACACAATCCACATGCACAAAAGAAGTACTTATTTTTACAAACTATGCCCTGGCCTCAGACATTATTTCAATTCAGTCGATAGCTGCACTGGCCAAAAGTGATAAATACTATGTCAAAACTTGCTCAAACTTGGCAAAATGTTTAGTAATTTGAGTGGATTCTGACTGCTTCAAAACAAGATTTGCCACAAATACTCATGTTTCAGACAAGAAATGTCTCCCAAAAAAAGAAAAGCAATTATTACCTTATGGATTATAATTTTTTGCAGTGTTAAGTATGTCAATAGGTTTAATATTGCAATGAGCCAGGTACATTTTCAAGGTTGCCAGTTAAATTCTCACTTGAGACACACACCATTCTTAAGTTGGACTATTTCCAACCCAAACTAAACAAAATGGTTAGTTTCTGCAGAAAAAAAAGTGATGTATGAATCAGTAATCTATCTAGACAACCTCAAGCTGCGCATTCATCGTCCATTGAGTCATCTCTGCTGAATCTTTGGAGGATCTCAAAGCTCCTCTGTGTCACCAGGAGCACATTGCAGAAGTATTTGTCCAGAATGGGGTTGACAGAGGGGCAAGTGTCCACCATTTGGACTAGCACTTTTGGAGACAGTGCTAAAAGCAAAACAAAGAGCACAAATGGGCCAGAGCTCATTAGCTGTTCTCCTGTGGCTTTAGCACAAGTGGGTGAAACCTCCACTGACAAACACTGATCAGACGCTGTATCCAGAGCATACATGGCACCCGCAATACTCTGTAATGTCTGTAATGTACAGCGTTGAGCTGAAGGTTTTCCGTAAATTGCGGAGAGACATGCAATAGCTAGAGATTGTATACTTGTTTCTTTATTATGCTATGAGTTTTAATTTTATTCTAGCTTAAAGTTATTGTTAATTTATCTTGTGTTGTTTGTTCCTCATTCGTACTGTTCTGTAACTGGTAATGCAACACTGACATATACCCACTGTGGGACGAATAATGGATCTCTTAATCTTAAAAGTGTAAAAAAGGTGATTTGTAGGTAGGGCTCTCTGAAAGTTCAATGAAAAAATTGGTCAATATCATTGTAGACCAAAATACATGCTTTACAGCCAGCTAAGAAACTTAGCAGCTACTTCTTTTGCATATTTTGTGTGCCCCCTGTGTGCTCTCACTACGTACGTATGGGCGCTGCAACATTGAAATTTCCCCACGGTGGGACAAACAAAGGGATCTTTTGCATTTGTTGACATTTATTCCTACTATAATTTACACACATATATAGGAAAAAAATTGAAAATTATACAAAACATGGAATTTACATCTAAAGTCCTTGATGCAGAATGTTTGGTATTTTTTTCACTTACACTAAAGGGGAAAAAAAATCATTCCTTGAATTACTATTATTAGTGATAGCAAAGTTTGTTCTAGTTTAGCAGATAAAGTGCATCAGATAAACTTTTAGCATGGTGTGTTTTAAGGAGATGTCTTTGACCATTTGTGTGCTTTGGAAGTATTGGCAGCTAAAACATTTTGGTGCACACTGGGGTTGTCTTGCACAGTTTTTCCAATGTGGTTTTACAGCAAATTCATTCTTGCATCTTGTATGGTGTTTGACTAAAATGTGTTGATCTAACTACATATTTGTAAATAGGAAGGGCAGCAAAAGGTAATGATTGATTAATTCATATCAATAACACACAAAAACTGTTGAATTTTTCATTATATTTGTGAATTTGACATCCCGTGAGTGACCTCAGAGGTTAGAGATTTAGTACTTTGACAGAACAGTTTTGTTGTACAAGAGTTGACAGAATTAGGCCAGCCATTTAAATCCCGAGATCCATACTAGAGTACACTACATACTAAATCAAAATAAACAAATGGTAAAATTGAATACACAATGTCTGAAAAATCTAAGTCAAAACAACACTAGATTCAGTTTTTTTCCTGGACACTTAAAAAAAGTTACACTGTGCTTCTTTAAACATAAATTGCTTTGTAACTCGCAAGGTTTGTCACAACGTTAGAAGAATGATAAAGAAAGCCATGTAAAATACGACAGGTCGACTCATTTCTTGGCAGGTGCCCGTCTTTGGTTGATAATTTAGTCTGCAACAATCTGATGTTATACTAAACATTTACGTTTTGGTAAAGAAAAGGAAAAGATTAACACAGCAGCCTTTAACCCTTTAATGTTCACTCCTTGAAGAAAGCAGTGTAAATGTAGGAGCACAAATTACAAACAAAAGCATTTTAAATAATGTTTTGTGAACTCCTAGGTTTTTTTTTATTATTATCATGGGCTTTTACCAAATGGCTAAGATGCAGCTTGATGATAAAAATGCCTTAAACCAAATGATAGAGGCGCCCCAATGAGGTAGATTTGAAGTGTTTGAGTTGTTCCTTGCCGATGTAGGAGGGTCTAAGGACAGTGGTGATGATTCAGGACACCACAGACATCTGCCCCTTATGGACCAATGACTCTGTCAATTTTTTCCTTTTATTACCTGTGTTTGATCCACCAAGGGTTGAGCAAACGATTAAAGAGTTAATATTATCGGTTGCATAGGAGATTGTCTTTGTCCACTTACTCGGAGCGGGCTGAGATGGGAACTGGGAGTGAAATTTCCCACTTTATTATTAATTTAATTTTTTTTATCATTGCTATTATTGTTAATCTTTATCAATAACACAATTTGATTTAGTCCATAGACAAAATAACAATAGGTATAGTAAATTGCATATAGAATAAGCCATATGTAAAAGACCAATAGGGGATTTTAAAGGGGATATTACCGCAAATAATCTAATTGACCTCTGCCATGAGCAAAGTTGTAAAACATTCCTCTTGTATTTAACTGTCACACACAACGCAAAGCCACAACTGCTGAGGAATCATAAAGCATAAAGCTGAAGAAGAAGAAGCACATTGTCTACAGCACTTGATTCATTCATGCGGCATAAAAACCAGGGGAACAGCAGAATGCCTAATCCTTTCCAGATTTAACCATCAGAAAACAATCTATTATTAGGCGCCTTGCCGTGTCTCGTTTACCAAGCACACATTGTTTGGTTGTATTGGATGGTTGTTTGATTTCAGAATAGACTTTCCATATGCTGATAGAAAAGGAATAGAGCCATAGTTATCACAGACAGTGAACTTAAGCACGCTAGGCTGAACATCTGGGCGCAAATTACTGAAAGATTCTAGCTGCACAATGAAAAACTGCTTTTAATTTCACTTCAACACAAGCTAAACGGTAACACTGCAAAAAGTGGTGAAGAATAAGTCAGAAAATACTCAAGGAAGGATCTGGCTTGAGCGTTAGCAACGGGTTATTCTACTTACTGTGCATAACCTGACAAACTACATTCTAAGGAGTCAAACCGGGTGACAATCACTGTGATTCACTAAAGATTATAAACAGACCAGAGTCAGAAACACTCACACGCATTCTGTACTGCGAGTCTCGTCAAATACGTTTGTCCAGGACGTGAGCAGGTGTGATCCCAAACTGCCCTTGGTGAATTAAACAATTAGCAAGAGCACATATCCAAGCATCGCGAATCCTCACCAACGAATTATGTGCTTAGAGAGACTTCGCAGCAGCACAGATATGACACAGTGCGAGGTTCCCTTTAAGCTGTGGTATTTGTCCCCACAGAAAGAGTTTAGTAAAAGTTAAATGTTGAGAATAAACCAGAACACAACACACTGTCTTCATCGTATTAGAAAACCTGTTCACTTGCAAGTTGCTATTTGACGCTTTAGGGCTGAGAGCTGATTGGACGAGAGAGGGAATGTAGTTTCTGTCTGAAAAAAGCTGATCTAACGTGACACAGGCCAAAAATTGTATGCATGCAAAAACAAGCGGGACAACCAAAGAACCGCATTTTTTTACATATTTAAATGTTTTGGAGTTTGAAAATCAGGTACATCAGCTTTAAGTTAACTGCGAAGTTACTTTTTAAAACAAGAATTGGAGAGAATTGTGTCTGCAAAACCATGTATGTATGAAATTATGTAAATGTAGACGTATGGGATTTGTCAAAACATATCATACTTAAAAAGTACAGACATTTCACTATTTCTGTTGATGGAAGGAAGCAGGTGCTAGTTTTGTAATTAATAGTATTTTAGGAATATTGGATAAGGACTGCAGCGTAAGAATCAACGTGCAAAACTTAATCAAAAGTTTTAAAACACATATATCAATTACATCAGGCAAATATTGTGTCTTTCCTTTGTTAGTAAAAAAAAAGAAATGTAAATACGCTATTTACTACAACCTTACTATTATTGTGCCTTTGCTATAGACCTGTTACATGCATGCGAGTTGGAGGGGATTTGTCTTTACCTTGAGGAAAGTCTGAAGTCCTGTATTCCTCCAAATATCAGTAGTTTGTCTCGTTCTTGTAGATAAACGTGGATTATTCCTCCCAGCGCCGAGGCCAAAACTGCAGGCTCCCGATATAAACTGTACGAGACACAATCACCCATCATGATGCTGTCAAAGTTGTCCAACACTGGGAAAATGTTGTTTAAATACTACACAAGCCACATGAGCGCTTGTCTAACTTATCGCTGCACAAGAGCTATGTCATATACAATAGACTATCAAACTCCTAATGTTTCCTTCCCTCCCAACTCAGCGCGCTCCACGGAAAAATGCAAAAAATGACAAAGATCTGAAAACTTCACGGAAGCAAGCGGCGTGGAAAAAAAGTTATCTGGAAAACACAGAAAGAGCGCACATTGAACTGGGAACTTACCTCTAAAAATGTTGCCTTTCAGCTCCGTTCGCTCAGTGCAGGAGTAGTGTACAATTTGAGGCACTTTGCTATAATTTGGCGCCTTGTTGTTTTCCGTAATATTTCTCGGAGGTTTGACAGTATAAGTGGAATGTGAAGTATGACTTTGGTATGAAATCAACGCACTACACTGGAAAACGAAGGGGGAGGGAGGAGAAGAGCGAGCCGAGGAGGAGCCATGGGGCAGCGTCCATCAACGACAGGGGGGCGGGGCTTACGGAGCAGACCCCGCCCACCTGTAAAGCATCACTGTGACACACACAGGGGCGGCTGCTGGAACCTCATGACGAATATGATGAGAAATTGGCCCAAATGTGTTCAAGTCGAAGAATAAAAATATACCACATATGGGCTCCATATGGTTACTGGCATATTTGTATCGATCGATTTTCAGTGTTGGGAAAGTTATTTCAAAAACTAATATCATTATTTATTATATGACTTGGACCGTACGCGCGCTCTGATTGGCTGATTACTGGTCTGATATTTTCCCATCTCGGACTGTTACCATGACAATTGGTCCGAACAGCGCGTATCACATTTGATATCTTTCCTCGGACCGTTACCATGACAATCTGTCCGCAGCGCGTATCACACAAAACCAAGTCGGACATGAACATAATTCACAAATATCTCAAAAGCATTGGTAAAGACACAGACAAGAGTCATATAATAAAAAATGTATTAACCTTGCTTGCTCGGTCTGTACAGAGAAATATCAGACCATGGCCTTAATGTACAGACCTCGCCACGGCTCGGTCTGTACATTAAGGCCGCGGTCTGATATTTCTCCATACAGACCTCTCGCTCGGTTAATAAGCCATTAGTATTAGGCGGCACGGTGGCTGAGTGGATAGCACTCTCACCTCTCAGCAAGAAGGTCCTGGGTTCGAATCCCGGTTGGACCAGGGCCTTTCTGAGTGGAGTTTGCATGTTCTCCCCGTGTCTGCGTAGGTTTCCTCCGGGTGCTCCGGTTTCCCCTACCACTAAAAATATGTACAATAGGTCTGGCATGTGCCTCCTGTACTGGCCCCGTTCCCAAAAATAACAATTGTAAACCGCTTTGAGACTCCGATGTGCAGTGAAAAGGCGGTATATAAATAAAGATTACTTACTACTTACTATTACTTGTTTTAAAATACTGTGGTGCACTACAATATTACGGTTTTGACTACTGCATTACTTTACTTGTATGTATACATAATAGATGTAGCTTGTGATTCTATTGCGTGATGTTGATAGATCTTTTGTTTGGCACATAAAGAGCACTTAACTATGTTCCACATGCTCCAACAAACTGCAAATAATGGGAGTATTTCTAAAAGGTACTATTGTCTGATGTACTGTGTCTGCTTCTGCTTCAGCAAACTTTTAGGCTTCTTTTATTGCCGTGGATTTGTTCTCCTCTGCTGATCTCATAGTGTCATAGTATGAGAACAAAAGATAATCTAACACGTTTGATAAAAACTTGTTTTAAAAAAAAGGCTTGGAATAATTTGCATCTGTTGCTCAGTTGTACTCACAAACATTCTCCCTGGCCTATTGCACAAATCTTTAGTGGTAAGGGAAACTGGAGTATCTGGAGGAAACCTCTACAGACACAGAGAGAACATGCAAAGTCCACATAGAAAGACCTGAAGGTGGAATTGACGGTGTAGGAGATGGACGTTTGTATAGTTGATCTACAGGAAGACAGGCGTTTTGACACTCGGTGATATCAATCCCAACAGAAAAAAAGAGCCATGTGAGTCACTACTTGCCGCTTTGGGCTGAAAGCTGAGTGAGGGTGGTCCTCTTATTTTCACTTGTCTGAAAAAGCTGATCTTAGAATATAGAAGAAGCCAAAAGCACATCAGAAAACTGGTGACTGTATTGAGAATAATGAACTATAGTGATGTGGATTGCACAGATGTATACATACATTTCTTGGACTAAAAGAGACCAAAAGAGTATTTTATACTTGCTTCTTTATTATGCTAAAGAAAGAGTTTTTATAGTTAATTCTTTCCTTTTCATTATTCTAAAGGTGGAGATTTTTTTTTTGTGCTTGTGTGCTCCTCATTCCTACTGTTCTGTAACTGGTGCTATAACACTGAAACTCAAAGGATCTCCCAATGTTTATCTTATTACATTGTTAAGTTATTTTTATTTTTTTTCAGACTAAAAGTAACAATTCTGTCCCCCACAGCTCCTTCTATTGGTCAGAGTCAGAGCTGCACTATAGTAAATGCATGACACAAAATCATTCATTTTAAACACATGCAAAACTGGAAACTTTTTCTTCTTACATTTTGTAGAATAGCTGGCAGCTTGAGGCTTTCTTTGACAGAAGCAAGTTTGGACGACTGCCGGAGCAGGTTCAGGCAGAATACACACCTCTCACTCAGGGCCCACGACTCAAACTGGTTTTTCCTCTTGAGCGCCATCCAACTAGCCTGGTCTTACAACACCATACACTAATTTCATGTTTGGCATATAGGGAAGTAATAATTTAACTGAGTTTAGCCTGGATAAGGATAAACTAAAATAATAATAATGCATCGGTTTTATATAGCGCTTTTTTGGACACTTAAAGAAACTTCACATGTCATTATTCATTCACTCAATACACAGTACCATAAACTACTACTATAGCCACAGCTGCCCTGGGGCACACTGACTGAAGCCAGGCGACCAGTATGGGCCATCGGCCCCTCTGACCACCACCAACCATTCACACACACACCAGACTCATTCTAGACAATGTGGTTGAATTGTCTTTACAGCCGCAGCCACCCCACTGTAGCACCAGGTGTTCCCAGAAGTTAAGTGCCTTGCCGAGAACACAACGACAGCAGACATCAGTGGGAGTTGGTGAAGAAATAGTCTTGTAGTGGGGCTCGAACCCCAAACCTTCAGGCTCAAAAGCCAGCGCTCTACCAACTGAGCTACTGTCGCCTCGCCTAGGCTATCTCCAAACGTGTCAAGTTACTCTTCAAGAAGCGTAGGTGTCTCTTGAAAAACTGGAGGGAAGTGTGACTGCACACAAAACATTATTTTATACAGAGTTCATTTTACTCAATTTTAATATGATAACGATAATGCAGCAGTTTTATGTACAACTTTTTGGACACTCAGAGACGCTTCACATGTCACTATTCTTTCACTCCATATAGAGTGATAAACTATTACTATCGCCACAGCAACAAGTATGTGCCATCAACTCCTCTGACTACCACACTCCAAAAAGTGATACAAAATGAGGTAATAATTGAATTGAGTGGTTTTTGTCTAAAGCCGCATTCAGACCGGATCATGCGTTGCGTCTGCTTTCAATGCAAAGTCAATAGTGACGTGCGTTCGAGCGTCAAAACGCATGGACCTCTCGGCACGCACGCACGGACCGCGCTGTAGAGACGCACGGACTGCGCGGGAAATTCAAAGGGGAGCAGGAGCGGAAAATGGACGCCCACAGGAGAAAAACTGTGCTCAACCTTTCCTCGGGACGTTCGTGCAGCGACCAATCAGAGAGCCGCAAAGTGGTCACGGGGACATTGGTGGTCTGAGCATGCAGACTGAACATACTGTAAACAGCCAAAACAGGAGCTACACAACTAAACCAGGGTTGACAATGGGGGACTGTATGCTTGAGAACATATGCGTTGTCATGCTCCCGTGACTTTACGCAACTGCTTTGAGTGTGTTCGCCGATGCGGAAGTACCGTTTAATAATAAAATAAACTTATTGCGCACCTCTGTGAACACATACTACTGTTATATAAAGTCCGTGGAACTCTGAACAAAGACACCCTGCAAAGCTGCATTATTGGAGAATATCTTTAAACGAGAAGCCGCTAGCATAGCTCTGTTAGCATCAGAGCCGGCCGGCTACTTCCGGCACTTCCGGCGCTGGTCAGGACGTTCTGGTGTGAAGACCCCTGCGTCTGAAAACTAGAGAATGCGCGTCTGATGAGCGGGGCTTCAGCATTTGAGCGTTTGCGGTCTGAACGCGGCTTTAGTCTGAGCACATTCTGAGTGTCTTAAAACACGCTTTGTCAATGGGACAAAGCCATTTAGTCTTTTTTCAAGGACTGTTGCTTTATCTTCTAATTCCAAGGGAGTCTTTTTTCTTTGTCTCATTGGAAAATCTTACATTAGATACATTTTGCCTTTTTGCATTGCATCAACCATTCACGCACACACCACACTAATTCTTACATGGGTGAAGTGTCTTGCCCAAGGACATAACGACAGTTTGGCAGCTGCCCCACTGTGGCACCTGGTGTTCCCAGAGGTCTCCCATCACATTACTTACCAGGCCCTGCCTTGCTTAGCTTCAGAGATCTGCCTTTGATCTGGTTTTCACATGCAGGCATGGCCACAAATAGCACAAAGTCATTCAAACACACAGTTCATATTTATTGGAGAACATAAAAACAGTGAAAATCCAAACTGAACAAAAATAAAAAATAAACGTCTCAATGATGAAGTGAATCAGTTTCAAACACAATCTGAAAAATACACATCTATTACATTATCAAATTAGATCTTTTGACGACTTATTCACAGGCAATTTTCCCGTCAAAACTAGACAAAGCAATAGCAAAGGCCTGCACCGCACACATGGGATAGTTGTAATCCAGAGTAAAGATATCGTCAGCTATGCGCCCAAACTGCATCACGATGTAGTCCACTGAAAAGTAAACCAAACATTTAGCCAACTTCTGCCTTATTTACCACTTTAAACAGACATGTCAAACTCAGTCCCATGGGACAAATACGGCCCCAACATATTGTTTAATTATCAATACTAATTGGATCGTGATGGACTACATTGCAAAAAAGTGATTAAGAACAAATCAAACATTTCTCAGATTCGATCAATTGTATCTTAATCAAAACAAAAATTGCCAATGGGACGAACAAAATGATCTTGTTTTGAAAATATACAAGAAATGTCTCCCTTGGAATGAAAAAAAAGCAACAGTTCTTGAAATAAGACTAAATGGCTTTGTCCCATTGGCAAATCTTGTTTTAAGACATTCATAATGTACCCAGATTAAGATTTTAAAAAACACTTGATTTAATGTACAGTATAACCTGCGTGGTGTACCATGGAAGGTCATACATCAAAAATGTTCTTAATTGCATTTCATTTCTACTAAAATGTGAAGTAGTACATACAGTGTATAAAACAATATAACTTTATATTTGGTCCAGTTTTGGTTAAATCCAAATAATAAACATATTTCATAACAGATAAAAGTAATGTCAAATACTGTCATAATGTAAAATAACAATTATAATTTGTTCTTTTGGTCCTGACCAGCTCCTATTGCTTTGTTGCTCAGCCCCAGATCAAGATGAGTTTGACACCCCTGACTTAAATCATTGCGACATCTGTGTTTGCACTTACAGTCGTTGCTGTGAACGATTTGGAAGTTTTTGATGGAGGCCTGAGTGACGCGGCCGTTGAAGTTGAGCACGTGAGTCGACGATTCCTCGTTCCAAACTGGGGATTTGTTGCGTAGCTCTATCAGGTTCTCCATCCTTCTGTTCTGATGCCGAATTAGTAAACTGTCGTAATCCTGTCGTGCAAAAAACACACACAACTTTAAAGGTGGGGAATCTAACGGTTTCAAATATATAAATCATGCGTGAACTGCAAAAAGTGATAAAATATGAGGTTATTAATTTCCTAAACCAAGCGGTTTTGAGTACACTGACTGTCTTAAAACAATATTTGTCATTGGCACAGTATATTAAACTTGCTTTGTCAACTGTAGTTTTGATTTTGAACAAAACCAATGAAAAACTGTTTAAAAAAGCTGTTTATGTCATAGAATTTTGTGAAATAATGAGCTTATTTTTAGTATCTATCTCTCAAATGATTCTCTAATTTGAGTTTGCCTGGGAGTATGAGTCTGGGAACTTGTGCCCAGAGTCAGAGCTAAACATGAGGAGACAGAATTTAATATTTATGTGAGATCAACAAAGTACATCTCAATAATCTTCCGGAAAAAGTGAGACAGGCATCTTCTCGGACAATGTTCAAATCCATGTTCTGTTTAGCTGTGCAGACAACTGTGGGGTTGTATATTTACTCTTTTTAATGCACTGCGCCTTGTGTATGAACTGCGCTAAACAAATAACCTTACCTGATGACGAATACAATACAAAATAACACATAGAGAGCAATGTAATAAACAACAAACAAACTGCAGAAAACATACATTTCTCGGCCGAAGAGGGATCCGTTCGTTGTCTTTGTTCATTCCCGGAATAATGACCGTCATCCTTCTGGGACCTTTGAATCCTAAAACATTGGTTTCCTGAATCAACAAACAAAAGAAAGTGAGAAATTACAATAAAAAATATAAATTTGTAGGTAGCCATTTTACACGTACATAAATAATTGCTGCCAACTCTTGCCGTGCGTTCGACATGTCCGGGAGCGCTCGTTCAGGATTCTGTGCATTGTCATAGACTGTAAACTTGGTGCCCATTAAATTGGATCTATGTTAGAGAAAAAATGAAAAAAAGATGAATGGAACTTTTACGGCAACAATGAAAGCAGCAAAGAATATTTCTACCTTAGCTTTCCGACAAAATTATCTCCTCCTCTCGACAGATCTGTTGCGTCAATTGAAATGAGATAGTTTGAAGTCGTGCTCTTCTTTCTTTTCCGTCCAGCCAATAAGAATGTCTAAAAATGTATGAGATCAAATGCATTTTAACTCTGTAGCACCCTTAGTTTCAAAGATGCAACATAAAGTTCAAGGGTATGGCAAAAAAGTATGATTTTTTTGGGTTAATGCATCAACTAATGCACTACAAAAAAAACAGCATGTGTGCACCGCAAAAAAAGGTTAAATATAAGGTAATAATTGCTTGAATCCAGTGTTTTTTCTCTTAATCTGAGTACATTCTGACTGTATGCAAACATGCTACATTGCCAAATTTGGTTATTGAGCAAACAGATCATTTTGTCCTGTCTGGGTTCTGAGTCTCACCTTCTTCTCGTTGTCCAGGTGGATGTAGTACAGCGGGTAGAGTGACTTGTCCATTCCTCGCTGATCGCGGGTCACTCGACATTTGATGGTGACGCCTTGGGGTGCTGGCTCCAACACAAACTTCTCCAAATTGTCAAACTCGATCTCAGGAGACGGAGATCTGGCCTAAAGAGTAAAACAGCGCATGATTTAAACCCTTGTGCTGTCCATGGGTCAAAATCACAGGGTCTACAAGAGTAAATGACCCAGGATTGATCAAGTTAGAAACATCAGCAAAAAGTATATTTCGGGTATTTTTTATGAACGGTGGCGGGTCAATTTGTCCAGAGGTTAGCCTTATTTTTGGACATTAAACTGATATTGAGACTCTTTCATGTTTTACAAATGTGAAAGAATATCTTCAGTATAAAATGAAGATTGAAACAAGTATAAATTGTAAGCAATGCTGATTTACTATCCCTACGCCACCACCAGAGGGAGGAGTAGAATTATGCAGATAAAGTCTCTCTCAAAATAGGACTCCCAGAATTCTGAAACTATAAGAACTCTCAATTCTGTCATTTTAACTGCTCCTGGTCAAACAAATGGAGTTCTGAGAAATTTCCCCAACAGTTTTTCAACAGATATTTTAGAAGTAAATAACTTAAAGTGTATTTAAGTTATAAAACTGCTGAATTCAACATGAAAACAAAACATACAGCTGAATGCTAACTACTGACAACAAAGATTATAGAAGTTATGTATACTCTTTGCTGACAGTGAAAATAAATGAATGAATAAAAGCATGTGTAACTCCTCCCCCTGTGGTAGCAAAAGGAGTTACAGGCAGAAAGCATTTTTGATATTTCATAATTCATAACCTACAGATACACACATGCACATACATATATGTTCAACAATAGTATTTAACAGTCTAAAACATGGAATGGCATGTCTCATTATTATTGTTAATAGCCAAAAATATATGTAACATTTATCTTAAAGCATCATGACACAGGCTGTGACACTGGTTCAAATCTAGAGCTGGGATAATACCTTTTTCTTTTTCCCTTTCCCTTTCTTCTTCTTCGATTTCTCTTCTTTCTCAGATTCAGAATCGTTGCTTTCTTCATCTTTCTTTGCTGACACAGAAAGTTGGATGTTAAAGTATCATTGTTGTGGGATTTGCATAATTGCGTCACTACCTTTTTTCTTGCTCTTTTTGTCCTTGTCTTTGTCTTTGTCTTTGTCTTTCTCTTTGCTTTTGCTTTTATCTTTGTCGTTGGACACTATAAACATGGAGGATGCATTGGCTGATTTCTTCTTGGATTTCGATTTGGTCTCCTCTTCGCTGTCATCGCTGTCTGATTTTGCAGCTGTTCAAAGGTCATTGGTCAATATTGAATTTAAAAATGAAAATAAAAGTCCAGCAAACCTTTCTTTTTGGTCTTCGAGTCCTTTTCTCCGTTTATCTGAAACAACGAGGACACTTCCTTTTTCTTGTCTTTCTCTTTTGATTTGGACTTTTTCTCTTTGCCGTCAGAATCTAAAAGCAAAAAGGAGGATTCTGTCACTACATGGTTGACTTTGCCATCGGGAGCAACACAATTGTTATGGTGTGTGTTCATAGACTGTATTTATTACGGACAGAGTCACGCCTATCTCCGCAGTTCTAACTAATGGGCCAAAAAATGTGCTCTACTGGAGCTATCCAAAATGGCCGCGAGTGGTCCCGCCCACAAGAAAATTGTGAAAAAAACGCATCTGCGCATGCGTCAGCCGGCGCAGCTCCATTCATTTGAACGAGAGACTTCAAAGATTCACAGCAAGTAAAATAGAGTGGACCAAAAAAATCCACCCCCCTCAGCATTGACACACATGTGGAACGGAGCTTTGGGCCAAGAACCTTTTGGTCCATCCTGTAAAGACGTTTTTGAGAGGTCTGCCAATGCTATATGTTAGCATTGGCTAATTCTTCTTCATCGGCCCGGAGTGGAATTGCAGCATGTCAGCGCACGTCATTTTGGCCACTTTTGAGCTGGGACCCGCCCCCACTGTGTGTGTTATTTAGTAATTTAGTTTTATTTTGACATCAGTTCTCTGTGGTATGATTTTAGTTTTACTTCCTGTTTCCTGTCTTGATTGTCTGCCCCGCCCTGACGTGTTTCACCTGCCCTTATCTGACGGTTTCCTGATTCCCGTGTTCTTTTTGGATTTTGAACTTGTTTATACCTTGGACTTTATTATCTTTAGTAAATAATTATGATAGGCATTCCTACATTTGTTGGTCCCTCTTCATCCCACCACATGACAACAACATGATCCATTATGAATGAGGAAAGGGTGTATTATATATTATTATTGTTTTGTTATATATTATTTATATTTGTTCCAATTTAAAGAGACATTTTGAGAACAAACCAGATCACAGAAAACATTTCAGAGGGTGGTCTGTTCTTTTTTCACTTTTCTGTCTGGTAAAGCTGATCTAAAGGTGTGACAGAAGCCAAAACTACACACATCAGTAACCGGGTGATAGAACCGAACCGTTTTGTGATTTCAAAAGTTAGGTACCCCAGCTTTAGGGACTATTAAACCCAACTCGGACTCTGAGGAGCACAAGGACTGCTCTCCTGCTGGTGCCCAGGGTCAGAACTAATGGGGAGGCAGCATTTCAGATTTACGCAGCCAAATCTGGAACAGTCTTCCTGAAAATGTGAGACAGGCTTCTTTTCTGACAATGTTCAAATCCTTGTGTGGTTGTGTCTATCTTGTTTTGTTCAGCACTTTGAGTTGCCTTGTGTATGAACTGTGCAATACAAGTAAACTTGACTTGCCCTACCTATTACACTATACATATGAAGAGTTAACCAGTCCCAAGTGTATGTTGTATAATAATGGGGGATTGATAATGTGATTCCTTTAAAATATTCACTGTGTTTTTAGAGGTTTGTTTTAGACTGGAATTAAAGTACAATGCCAGACTGTGTAGAAGACATTTCTAGGAACTAAAGCAATTACATTTACGATCAAACAAGCAGTTATGATAAACAGTAAACAGACATTGTCTCAGGGATCCAAAGGAGGGGGCGCTGGGCTCGGTGTGGGTGTGAAGGAGGAGTTTTAAACCACACACACAAGTCAGTGCAAGTGGAACGACAAAGTGTGAGGTGGAAAGGCCATGTTTAGCTCAAGGGCAATTGCTCAATTCTCCAAACATGATACGCACACATGCCAGTCAAACTACTTTTGAACACTTTATAAAATGCACTTCGAGATGCATTTGATGAATCTTAAAAAAACGGCTTCGGTAATGGGTTTCTGAAAACCTCTTTCAAAGATTAGAAATACATTTTTGCAGGGGAATCTGTTGTTCTGTGGCCTCTTGCAGTATTACACAATATAATCATATTGTGCGGCTGTCAACAATCGCTGCAAAAAGTAAATATGAGGTAATAATTGCCTGAAACAATTGCTTTTTATTCTGACTTATATTAAGATTCCCCAATGGGACTAAAACCATTTAGTCTTTTTTCAAGAACTATTGATGTATTTTCTCATTCCAAGTGGAGACATTTATTGTGTCTTTTTAAAACAAGATATTTTAGTTTGTCCCATTGGCAAATCTTGTTTAAAGGCCGTCAAAATGTGCTCAAATTTAGATACATTTTTTTCCAATTTCTATGCATCTTTTTGCAGTGAATGGGGTGGGTTTTTTTACCTTTTGATTTGGATTTCTTCTCTTTTTCAATTGCTGGTGAAGGGGATCTGTCCTTTGTTGTCTTCTTCTTAGTTTTCTTTTTGGGAGTATCTTCATCATCATCGTCATCGTCGCCTGAGCTTTCTAAAGGTGTAAACAATAAATACAGTACTTCAAAGTGTGAGGAAAAGGCTAGTTGGTCTATTGTTATGTCTCTCCATGACTATACATTCATTGAATACAATATTGTGAAACATACATAATATTGACTGACCTTTTTTCTTTTTCGGAACTTTTTTCTTCTTAGTTTCTTTGTCCTTTTCCGGTGGTTCTGAGTCTTTCTCTTTTTCAGTCTTTTTCTTCTTCACTTTTTTCCCGTCTGGTGGATTTAGACAAAGTTTAGTCCTATACGTATATTTGTACTTTATCAAAATCCATAATCCGTCCATGATCTGTTCCCACACTTTTTTCCACTGGTGGCTCTTCCTCCACCTCCTTTTTGCTCTTTATTTTCTTCGTTTTGGTTTCGCGTCCGTTGAGCTTCGCTTCTTTAGACTCCTTAGCGTCCTCCTTCTTTTTAATCTTCTGTGATTATCTGAAATGACACAAATGTAACATGCTTTATATGTAAATCATATTTCTTTACATTTAGATGAAAAGGAAACGGATTCAACTCACCAGTTCAAGGCCAAAGGGAAAAGTGAAAGATTCAAAGAGGAAAAGAATTGCATTAAAATATAAACAAGAGAAACATTGTGGACAGAGAGTAGCTGTGTGTGAATAATGAAAGCTGTTTACATTGAAGAAAAGTCTTCATGTTTCACTTGTCAGATCAGGGGTCACCAACCTTTTTCAATTGGAGAGCTATAATTATGAAACAGAAATGGCAGAGACCTTCTCCTTTAGCAGTTGTAATAGAATTAACTCATGGAGAAACACACTTGCATAATTTATCATTAAACTGTCCAGTGTCCCTGCATTATTGACAAGATTTATGGTTAAAATAGATGTAAAGACCCAGAAGTGAATCATTCAGGATCATGTGTTCAATTCTTGAATCCTTTGGGGAGCTACCTGAAAGTGGGCGGTGAGCTATTGGTACTGTAGCTCTCGAGCCATATGTTGGAGACCCCTGATTTAGGTCAATATAAGATATTATTATATAACAATAATAACGACTTTTGGCCTATCTTCTCCAGAAAGCATATAAAAAATGAGTCAAAATTGCAAAAGTCAGTATGAATCAGTTTGTGAAACCACTGGTGACTCAACATTTACTTTATAGGTGAAAACAAAGTTCCAACACAGAGGAGAAATACACACCAAATTATACTGTTATGAATGGTATATAGAAAGAGTAGTAAAGCTGCAGTGGCACGGCCCTTTGACACCTGGAGGACAAACAGGTTTGACTGGAGATAAGAGAAAACTATCTGTATGTTCTATTTGTTCTATAGGTTGTGTTGTACAGGTTTTGAAATAAAATAAATGATTGATTAAAGCTTGATGGTTGATGACAAACCAAAATATAAAAAAAAAAAAATCAATTAAACCAGAGACTCTGGGCTATATCCCCATGGAATCAGGAGTATAAAAGATTCTCATGTGTTCTTCATGAATGGCAGTCACAAACACGGAGCATGACATAATAATGTGACTCTGACCGTCCAGACCAGACCTGGGCAAAGTGCGGCCTGAGGGTCACATGCGGCCCGATTCACGTCCCTATGTGGCCTCAGACCTAAAGATAATATTGGATCATTCTCACTCTTTTTCTTCTGTAAATATATATATATATTTTTTTAAATCAAATACTCACATGTTTTTGTTTTCTCCATTTTTAACAAAATGATCTAACACTGGTAAGTGGTACCCACATGAAAACGAGTCTGGCCCTCCATAATACATTGATACCTCATAAAATAAAATATTTGCCCAGGTCTGGTCTAGAGTCTAGACACTGGGTCTGACCTATACAAATCCTTCTCCAGTTTTCATTCATTAACTCCTTTCAAGTGGCGGCTTTTCTAAATGTGCTTTGAGGAGAATGAATTTAATTCAAAAGAAAGAGTTAATTTGTTGGAAGCAAAGGTCTTAACCTGTGGAGAGGAGAGTAAAGTTTCTGAGAAGAACCAGGTCAGTGTGATTGCGGCCACAGAAGTAAAGGTAATCCTATTATCCACAGGTCGCCCACAGACACACTGCTGTTTGTAAGAACAATACACACACAGTAGGAGCGTGTGTGCATCAGCAATAAGTCCTTACAATGTCTACTCATGAAGCAAGGCAAGGCAAGTTTATTTATATACCACAATTCATGCACAAGGCAACAGAAAGTGCTGAGAAAAAGAAGATAGAGACGTTCACACAAGTCATTGAAATCATATGTTAATGCCTTACTTGTGTTATGACAAGAACACTTATTTATTATGCTAAAGTTAGGTATGCTATACTTGATTCTTCCTTCTTAAGTATGCAAACCTATGCAAGCTGTTTTATAATTGTTTCTTTATGCTAAAGTCAGAGATTTTCTTTTATTGTATTTTAATATAGTCATTGTTCATTTATCTTGTGCTGTGTGCTCCTCCTGTTACCGGTGATGCAACACTGACATTTCCCCACCGTGGGACGAATAAAGGATCTCTTCATTTTAAAATGTAGGTCACCTTGTACTAAAAGCATTCTTAATGATATTTAGTCAATAAACTATTTTGTTATTGAGAACATTTGAATAGAATAAGTTCATTTCTGCTGTTGATTCTGCACATTTTAGGCCCCAGCAAGCAAACAAAAACAAAATTATGTAAAATAGCTTAAAACGTAGTTAGGAGGATTTTCCCAATTCTTTGAAAGAACTGCCCTCTCCACTTTTTGATCAAAACTCTCCGATCTTATTTGACGAGCACGTATCAATTGGGAGGATCAATAGTCTTGATGATCCACCCGGATGTAGAAAATCCTTCTTTACACCTTTATTAACCTATTCTGACAGATACATTACATGATATTTAAGCTCAATCACTAGTTCAACTTGGGACTGAGGAAGGAATAAAGGTTATTCTGATCTTAACTTGACGTCAATTGGAAATAAAGAGTTCCACTGCAAAAAGTTATAAAAAATAAGACATTTGGTAAAATGTATCTTAATGTGAGCACATTCTGACTGCATTAAGACAAGATCTACCAATGGGAAAAAGCAAAATGATCTTTTTTAATCTTTTAAAACGATACAGGAAATATCTTGTTTTAGGACAGTCAGAAGGTACTCAAATTAAGATAAGAAATAAAACTTGATTCAAGCAATTATCACGTCATACCGTATCATTTTTTTTACAGTGTACTCCAAAATGATGATCACTGACTCGCACAAAACATACAGTGGCAATATCTCAGAAGCAGCAGGTTGTAGACAGTGTGTGAATAAATACATCAAATACCGTTTTTACCACTGATCTAACACTGATCTAAACAGTACCCCAGCCTGCTAACATAAAAGACTTTACCTTTTCTGCAGACATGTTGTTCTCTCTGACCAGAATAGAACAAATATAGTTGTAAATTGAAACAGTCTCTCAGTGGAGTGAATGGAAGAGACGCCCTGGATCACTGCATCTCCATCAGCAGAAAGTTCTTAATAGGATTTGTGTGTAATGCCGTCTGCTTTGTAGAGACACGTCAACTCTTCAGGCACAGGAGGGAAGGAGAGAGAGAGTGTGTGTGTGTGTGTGTGTGTGTAGCTATAGACTGGACACTGTAAAGAGAGGCTGATGTGTAATTTTCATTCAATCTTAAAGTGTACAAATGTATGTGTGTGTGTGTGTGTGTGTGTCGTGTGTATACAGAAAAAGATGTTATGTTGTTGTGTGTTCTCCGTGAATGTCAGTCACAAACAACCAATGAGGTCGGGTCCCTGCTCCAAAAGGTCCATGAGCATGTGTGCTGATACGCTTGCAATCTCACTGCTAGCCGGTGGGGGTGTACCCGGAAAGAGATTTGCCTAATGCTTTTGTATGGTGTCTTCTTTCCTCTCTAAAACGGCTTTGCAGGCTAGTCCAAAACTTGGCTCTTGGCCCCAACGCTACATAACAAATGTTTGTCAATGCTGAGGGGTTTAAAAAATTTTTTTTAATCAGTTTAGTTTATCCTCTGAACTCTCAGAGGTTTGTGTGTGTGTGCGCGTGGGTGGGTGTAGTTCTATAAACTGGACACTCCTTTGTAAAGACAGACTGATGTATTCACGTTTTTATCTTGAAGAGAATTAAACCTTACCTTAGACTTCTGCTCTAAAGAATCTGAATCATTACTATGAGGTAATCTGGAAATAAAAACACAAAGCACAAAACATGATCAGAATCAGTCTCATTATATAGGAAAATTAAATCCAACACTGTATTTCTTAGTCTATAAGATTAATGGGGAAATGTCAGTCTTGCATCATCAAAAAAGAAAACAATCACTCTTAACCAAAATTTTTAGTTTTAAAACTCTAACGTTAGCATGATAAAGAAGCAAGAATACAATCTCTAACTTTGGCAAAATAAAGAAGCAATATATTTGGTTTGTCTTAGTGTTTAATAAATAATGATGCATGTCTCACTAATGTGCTAAATGACTCCAGTGCTATTGTCACACTTCCTGCTCAGGTCACATGGTCTATCTCTAATTGGCCAGTCCCAGTGGAACATGGGTGAGGTAAGAAGTAACTAGGCGACTGCAAGTCTGAGTATTGTGTCTTTGAGAGAGAGCCGTACCTTTCTCTGGTCCAGGCCTCTTTCACTGCGTGTTTGGGTTGAGACATGCTGTCCTCTTGTCTTCTGTTGGGTCCAGCCTCAGTCCGTGTGAATCCTGCGGACAACGGGGGTCACATGACTTCAAGGATCTTAAGAGGATTTCCAGCAAAGCAACAAGTCCCCCTTTGAACTGTGCTTCAAATAGATTACTGTAATCACACTCAAAGCATCTGGGAGAATGCACACGAATGGAGGAATATGGTTAACGATCAAAACAACTCGTAACAATGTAAGCTTCTGTTCGTTTCCAGAATGTCCAAAGATGTAAGATCAATAATTCAGTGACAGACTTATCTACCCTCGCTGTGAAGAAGAGGTTCCGCAGGTCTTTCATTCCTCCTGCTGTCAGACTGTACAACGAACAATGAGGACTAAATAACACAGCCGACCTGACCTCATATCTGCGCAATCATTTTAACTAATGTCAGAATGTGCAATATAAAACCACATGTGTCTACTGTCACTTCCCAGACCCTCATGCTGCTAACATGTACACACACAACTATATATTGCACTAGAATAAGGTTTTTAGACTTGCTTCTATATTATGCTAAAGTTGAAGATTTTGTTTTATTCCTCTCATCACACACACCCCCTCCATCAACCACATCACCCCTGTCCTCCAACAGCTCCACTGGCTCCCCATCACTCACCGCATCAAATACAAAATCCTGCTCCTCACATACAAAGCCATCCACAACCTTGCTCCTGAGTGGATAGCACTCTCGCCTCTCAGCAAGAAGGTCCTGGGTTCGAATCCCGGTCGGACCAGGGCCTTTCTGAGTGGAGTTTGCATGTTCTCCCTGTGTCTGCGTAGGTTTCCTCCGGGTACTCCGGTTTCCCCTACCACTAAAAATTAGTCCAATAGTTCTGGCATGCACCTCCTGTACTGGCGACCCCGCACCCATCTCTGTGTGGAGTGAGAGACAAATGCCCAAAATTAACAATTGTAAACCGCTTTGAGACTCAGATCTGCAGTGAAAAGGCGGTATATAAGATATATATAAGATTACTACTACAACTTACAACTACTTACTACTCCTCCATACCTGACTGACCTCCTCCAGATCTCCACACCTGCCCGCTTCCTCCGCTCCTCCTTCTCTCTCCAGCTCCTGGTTCCTCCTGCCCGCCTCGTCACCATGGGGAGTAGAGCCTTCAGCCGCTCTGCTCCCCAGCTCTGGAACACTCTCCCCCTGACCTCCGTAACACCGACTCACTCACATTCTTCAAATCCACCCTCAAAACTCATCTGTTTAGACAAGCCTACTCACTAACATCATGACCACACTCTCCTCTGACCATGATGCTTTTAACTTTGTATTTTAACTTTTTTTTAAATGCACTTTTTACTTGTATGTAAGGCGACCTTGAGTGTCAAGAAAGGCGCCTAAGAAATAAAATGTGTTATTATTATTATTATTATTTTGATACAGCGTTATTGTTCATTTATCTTGTGTGCTCCTCATTCCTAGTGTTCTGTGACCGGTGATGCAACACTGACATTTCCCTTCTTTGGAACGAACAAGGGATCTCTTAAATCTTAGGAATACGAGCTTTGCAAATAAGATATTCAAGCATCCACAAACACAGATATCTTGTTTGCCGAGTTAGATATGGTTATTATTATTAATTAATGAAGATTTCTATTCGGACTTGCTCTGATGATGGCGATGATTATTATTATTTTGATTATACTTGATAATAATAGCTCCTTATTTATACGCTATTATCTATGTGTTACTATTATTTCATTAGCAAAGTTATACATTGAATAATGCTTTTGTATTGTGTTGATTTATGAATTAATATTTTTGATCATTTCTTTTGCTATACATTGTACAAGGAAATACGATCAGGTTACAGGTGAAAAAAACAGCCAGCGCAGCCAAGAGAGCTATAGCGACCCAGGACTATTCCCATACCATTATTGCTGTCCTTTCCCCCGGTATTAAAAATGGTGAAATAGTCGTAATTTGTCACAACTGTAAAGAGATGTTCCCCAGCTTTCCTGAATGTGTGAAGAGAGAGAGTTTCACAGGACCATCTAAATTACTGCTCCATCCCTCAATAAAAAGTCCCCACAGCACTGAGGCACGAATAAAGGTTATCTAATCTTTTGTAAATGTTGTTCTATTTATTGACCACAAGATGACGCTGCTCCCCAAGAGTATAGGCCACTCCTGCAGCTGCGGGAGAAGACAGAATGCTTTCCTTCAGTCAACCAATTGTAACTTTTCATTAAAATCAACATAGCTGCTCGAGCTGATCTCACTTTAGCTCAAATCTGGTCTCTGGCAAATACTTGTTGTTTAACGTAAACAAAGATTATAAGATAATTCTAAATATTTGCTTTTCTTTTATGATGCATTGGTTTTATCTAGCGCTTTTTTGGACACTCAACGATACTTCACATTTAATCCATTATGCATTTACTTTACAGCCCAAACATCCTCTGATGCTGACTTTGTCATGATGCCTTCAGGCGTCGTTTTAATGCTCCAGATCCAAAAACAAATGCTTTAAAACTCTTGACTTCTGGTGGAAGTGTTCGACTTTTGCCCTTGGAACCCATGTACCGACGCTGCGGACAGTTCCAAAATAGGCAAGGCAAGGCAAGGCCTTTTATCTGTATAGCACAATTCATACACAAGGCAACTCTAAGTGCTGAACAAAACAAGAAAGCATTAAAATCATAAATAATCACAGAACATTAAAAAGGAAGATAAAAATATAAAAGTTGTATGCACAGCTAAACAGAACCGTTTTTAACCTGGTTTTAAACATTGTCAGAGAGGAGGCCTGTCTCACATCTTCAGGAAGACTGTTCCAGATTTTAGCAGCATGAATCTGAAAAGCAGCCTCCCCATGTTTAGTTCTGACTCTGGGCACTAACAGGAGTCCAGTCCCTGTGCTCCTCAGAGTCCGGGCTGGTTCATATGGGACTAACATGTCACTAATATATTTTGGTGCGAGGTCATGGAGAGACTCGTAAACAAGCAGAGCTGTTTTAAAGTCTATTCTCTGAGCCACAGGAAGCCAGTGTAGAGACCTGAGGACCGGACTAATGTGGTCGTACTTCAATACACAATATCTGTAATATTACACATTAACATAACATTGAATTGTAGATGCAGCGCTTTTATATAATGTTTTGTACACTCAAAGACACTTTGCATGTCATTATTCATCCCATTATCCCTCCATACACAATGATGATGAACTGTAAATGTAGCTGCAGCTGCCATGGGGCACACTGACAGGAGAGAGGCAACCAGTGTGTGCCTCTGATCACCACCATCCATTCACACAAACACCAGACTCATTCTAATGTGGGTAATATGTCTTGCCTAAGGACATAACCACAGTTTGGCACTTTGCAACCGCAGTCGCCCCACTGTGTTTCCAGAGGCCTCCCATCACAGCATTATCCAAGCACTGCCCTGCTTAGCTCCAGAGGTCTGGCATAATCTGGATTTCCCAAGCAGTTAAGCCTATGCTATTGGTTGAGATGTTAACTTCTAATAATTGTCTGAACGACTGATGCACACTGTTAAATTCTACCACACGCTCTAATTGAGATATATAGAATAGAATGGCCTTCTGCTGGGGCCCAGACCCAGGCCCCTAAAACCTGAACCAATCTTCCTGAAGGTGTGAGGCAGGACGCTACCCTAAATGAAAATGTGCACTTTATTGTCGCCATAGTACAGCGACCAGGAACCCATGCAGTCACGGCGAGAACATGCAATCTCCACTCAGAAAGACCTTGTTCTGATAGGGATTCAAACCCAAGACCTTCTTGCTGGGAAGCGAAAGTGCTTACCACTCAACCACCGTGCCTTTTGTGTGTGTTTTACAGTGTGTTTCAAATGACCAACTGTTTAAATGTTGTGGATGTGAAGCACTTTGGGTTACATTCTGCATGAACTGTGCTCTGGAAATACATTGTGAAAGTTTGATGGAATTCTATTTGTTTTTTCCAATAGTGAAACAGTGGGATGATGATGGCATAACATTAGTTCCCAAAAGGTAGATGAAAAAAACACACACCAGACTCATTCCAAACGTATAATCTAAAAATATACACAAGAATATATTTCTCACCACACACACACACACACACACACACACACACACACACACACAGAGTCATATTTTATGACTATAGGAACAGGACAGTAAACATTTGTGTAGCAAAATAAAGCAGCACTAGAGAGTAGAACTGTGAGGCCGTAAAAAGCAGACCCTACTAAACCAACAACTGCAACAACAAGCCTGGATGAAACGAAAACACATCCATCACTCTTGAGGAGAAGTGGGGACTCTTTGGAGCACTTGTACAAACATTAAACCAGATGAATCATGGGTAATGCATAAAGGTAGTGAGCGCTCATGGGCAGAAAACCTTTGGGGGCAGGGAGTCTGGTAATGACAATGATATTTCAGACTGATTCAGAAGCACATGATGAGGAGATGTGACCCGGGTCAGTGGCCGTGGTTCAGAGTCTGGTCTTGTGAATGATTAAACTTGTGACGGACCATGACTGGACAAACAATAGCAGACACAATATAAGTAACATTAGATACTCATTATTGGTCGCCTAATGGAGGAATTTACAATGCAAAAGGAAGCCAACACAAAGTTTCTGTAATACAAAGTCTTATGTAATATAGACTTGAAGTAAGCAAGTATAAAATATGGTCAGGATGGGGCGCAAGACAGCGATAGGATGTCCAAAGGTTTAAATATTTGCCATTGTGTTGCTAAAACAATGCTTCATGGATTCACATAATCACAACCAATTGATTATTGAAATGGTGGCCTTACTTGTATGATATCATCAGACCTTCAAAGATGTGCAGGGCAGAGCCTGGTTAGTACTGGAATGGGAGACCTCTGGGAACACCAGATGCCACAATGGAGTGGCTGTACCTATAAAGTGCCAAACTGTGGTTGTATCCTTAGGCAAGACACTTCACCCACATCAGAATGAGTCTGATGTGTGTGTGTGAATATTTAGTGATGGAAGGGGCCGATGGCACAGACTGGTTGCCTTGCTTCTTCCATGTTTCGTCTTTGTGGGTCGAAAGTGAACTCAGAAACAGAATAAGGGGAAGAACTGGAGCTGCTGCAAACATGTGTTCCTAGACTGAGTTTTGCTTCATGACTGAACAGATGTCTGTTCCTGGCGCCCGCGCTGCCAGGGGAGTGCCCTGAGAGCGGTCACTGCCCTTGTGTCAGCGCAACCCTGAACAGTCTACAGTCCCGCGCAGACTTGTCCCAGCGCTTTTCTCAAAGAGGCTCTGCTCTTTTGAACTTGTGCCAATAGAGGCTGGCCAAAGCTCCAGCAGCTGAACTGTTATAAACTGTGTGTTTGTGTGCGCAAAGGGGAAAGACACAGCCCTCACACAGAAACTCCCGTCCGTCGCTGTTCTTATCTCATCTCTGAGGTTCATTTGACGATAGTTTTGTAGAGGAATCATGGCTTAGTAACTGGGCACAAAGGATTTATGTGCAAGAGGAGACTATTGCTCAGAGAGTGACGTCACCCTTAGAGCTGCCTTGGATAATGCCTGAGGAAACAAGTCTGTGGCACTGTACGGTTTGCACATTTCTGACAGATATCTGGGACTGTCGTTTTGCTAAAATGGTTCGTACAAACTCTTGTTGTCGTTCACTTCTTGCATCTGACATATTTCTTGTATTCGTGATGCTTCGTGAACAGCATGCTGTAAAAATACTTCCTCCTTGTTTTAGTGCTAGTCACAGCCATTATACAGTCACAGTACTGCAAACGAAACAAACTCAGGCAGGTGGAGAATGGCAAAAGAAATCCAGGGGTGACTATGGAACATGGGAAGTGTAGTGTAAGGCATGTAGTACCTGGGATTGATGCCAAATGCTGACAAAAAGGCTTCATTTCACAGCTCTGAGAGAAGACTTTACTTATGTGCTGAGCCATGCTGAAGGAATATCTCTTACTCATGTAGTAGTACAAGTAGATATTTGTACAGGACACAGTCACAGTTTCTGATTCTTCATTCAATCGTCTCGACAGCAAATCTCATATTCACGTGAGTATGTTTGAGTTGGTCCTGCACCATTTTTACAAACTGCAGAACACATGGCTTTCCCACGGCCTCAAAGCTAGCAGACTCCAGTCAAAGTTGGTGACTTGCCGTGTCCTGTTGTCGTCTGTCCTCTTGGCAGAGCCCTGAAAGTGGGCAGGAAGAGAGGAGGGCACGACTGAGCTGGAGCCCCTGCCCATGTTCCAGTGCAGCTTCACGCTGCTTCTCTACCGACCCTTTCTTCTCCCGTTCTGCAGGCGAAGCAGAAAGATGTGGAAGCGTCTCGATCCCGCCTTTTTGTCCCCGCGGAACCGTGGCCTCCTTCTGCAGAAGTGACCGCTACCGTGACCTGTAACACACACATGCATCCAGGTATTTATTTCTGTTTGTTTTACACATACATACCTCTTTAAAATCACTTTCTTCAACCTCAGTACAGCAATATCTATCCCACCACGGCCTGTGCGCACGTCTGCAATGTTAGGGCCGAACGCTATTTGGCTGCTGTTCGACAAAAGACAAGTTTATGAAAAATACTGTATTAACTCTGAATTTTATTAATGTTAAAAAAACTCCACATAAAATTGTCACAGAATGTTATGAAACATTTATATGGTCACCTTTTATTACCCGCTTTGAGGAGATTTTGACTTAGACAAGACTGTAGTTGTAGATGTGCCTCCGTGCATTTATGTCCTTGTTCTGTATTAATTCATATAATAATAATATAATAATATAAACATGTGAATGTGTATTGAGTTTGGGGGGAGGGGGGTGATTATAAGCTTTGTTGCTTCAGCCCACTTCTTTTGAGCAAAATGTACTGTTCAAATAACAAATAAATAATGTTATGAATGCTCAAAGATTGTGTCAACTGCTTAAGCTGGATGGTGTATGAATCTCTGCAAAAGGAGTTCCAGAATGGGTCGCCGCAAAAGTAATAGCCGTGATGTTAGCTTGCGCAGTTAGCTCGTGATGGGCCTAAATTAACATTACATAAATGGGTAATTTTCTCATTAGGGGCACTTTATTTGATGTATGCCATCCATGGCCACAATCTACAGTTTTATTTCAGCTGACTCAATTTCTAATTGTATTTATTCAAAGAATTCTATCACCGTTCTATGTATATATATATTTGAAAATTCTAACCTTAATGTTGCTGTGTGTAGTTGTTCCAGGAGTATTTTGATATTATTGCTTTACATGGAGCATTATCCAATATAGATAACATTTATTACAGCGTCATTTTGACTCTCTGCTTGCTTCAATAAAGATAAGAAATGTTAAAGTATCTTGTATGTTAAGACCCCGGTGTACACTGGGCAAGTTTTGCACAGTTATTCCAATGTGGTTTTACTGCAAATGGCAAATAAATGGTAATAAATGCTTCAATTGTGGTTTTTACCTTAGTTTGAGTACTTCCTGACTTTCCTAAAACAAAGTTTACCAATGGGACAAAGCCATTTAGTCTTATTTCAAGAACTGTTGCTTTATTTTCTCTTTCCAAGGGAGACATTTCTTGTATCTTCGTAAATCAAAATCACTTTGCTTTGTCCCCCAAAATGTGATTAAATTGAGATACATTTTGCAAAAGTTGAGCATTTTTCTTTAAATGATTTGTAATCCCTTTTGCAGTGAGCATGTTAGCGAAAACAATAAAATCCACATAAGACATGTGCTGGTCCCAACACCAGAAAAGGTTAGCGAGAAAACAAGCATTAACTATTTGTGTATCTTTCCTGTTTTTCTCCTATTGATTAAATAAAGCCGTCTCAGTGGATATAATTGTATTTACAGTGATATCATTGCCACTGGTCAGACTGCTTTCGGTTGCCAGAGAAAACTTTTAGCTGGATGCCACACAGTGTGAAACTGTGTGGTTTGGTCTCTGTTACAGTTGACTCAGCTTTTTGGAAGTTACTTCGGTGGTGCACTGCAAAAAGTGATGAAAAATTAGTCAAAAATTACTCAACATTGGCAAAACGTATCTTAACCCTTTAATGGTTTCTTTAATCATTTAGACCTATACTATATCTACAACTGGACTTGGATTTAGGCACTTTCATCATCAAACTCAACTATTTGGTAAAGGCCTAAAATAAAAAAAATACATCTTATAAAATCAAAAAAAGAAAAATGTACATTGCTTTCATCAAGTAGTGATTAACGAGTACATTGAAGGGTTAATTTGGGCCAATGGGACAAACCAAATCATCTTGTTTTAAAAAAGTACAAGAAATGTCTCCCTTGGAATGAGAAAATAAAGAAACAGTTCTTGAAATTAGACTAAATAGCTTTGTCACATGTCACTGCAAATCTTGTTTTAAGACCGTCAATGTTTTTAAATTAAAACAAAATCCACTCGATTCAAGCAACCGTTACCTTATATTTTAAAAATTTTTTTGCAGTGTGTGTGTGTGTGTGTGTGAGTGTGTGCAGACAGCTCATGGCTCATACTGTACACAGGGGAAGAGTGAGGCCAGCGGAAGAATGACCGTCCAAACGCTTCCTCCCCCCTCAACCTACACCCCTCCCCCTCGCCCCTTCTCTCTCCTCACATGAACTCGCTGTGAGTTTGCTGTTTATGCCATGTTTGGAAAGTCTTATCCTGCGCTTCTCTCCTCGTGGTCGTTAGTGTGACGTTGTGGCGGCGGGATCAAAGTCTGTTGCATGTTGCTTTTATATGACAGAAAAGAGGCATACACACATCCGGTACTTCCTGTTTGCAGGCACGATAAATCATGAGCCTGTAAACAGACTAGTCCTGCTCAGTGGGGGAAGGTCCCAGTTCAAAAGTGGCCAAAATGACGTGCGCTGACATGCTTGCAAGACCACCCCGGGCCGATGGTGGTGGACCCGGAATAAGAATTAGCCCATGCATTAGGTGACCACTCGAAAACGTGTTTACAGGATGGTCCAAAAGTTGGCTCTTGGCCCAAAGCTCCGTTCCACATGTGTGTCAATGCTGACGGGGGGTGAATTTTTTTGGAGCAGTTTTCACAGCGAGTTTACTCGCTGTGAATTTTTAAAGTCACTCGTTTAAATGAATGGGGCTTGTACAGGCTGACGCATGCGCAGTTGCGTTTTTTCACATTTTCCAGCCCCCGCTGCCATTTTGAATCACTCCATGAAAGCCCAATTTTTGGCCCATTAGTTAGAACGGCGGAGATAGGCGTGACTACGTCCATTAATATATACAGTCTATGGTCCGGCTCAAAATAGGGGGGAAACTTTAGTGTTGCATCGCCGGTTACAGAAAAGTAGGAATGAGGTGCACACAACACAAGATAAATGCCTATATGATAAAATATCTAACTTGGCATTATAAAGAAGCAAGTGTACAATCTCCAACTTTAGCATAAAAAATAAGCAAGAATTAAATCCTGCATATTCTAGTGCAAAAAAATATAGTTAGTATATAGCAGCTTGAGGGTCTGGGACACAGTGACAGCAGATACAAGTGGTCCTTAGGATGTGTATTTATTGTAAACATTGTGTGTATGCCATTCCTGGTACTGCAACAATTAGATAGAAAGGCTAAATCTCCACTGGATACCACTATATGGAGATTTGATACAAATATCTGTAGATGATCACTGGTAAATTGGACTAGACAGACTTCAAAAGAACAGTGTGTAGTTTGCGCCTTGACCAGGCTAATGTGATGCAAATTCTGCCATTATGTCCATTATTTTTGCACTTGAAACAGCCAAATATGATGTATGAATGCTGAAATTGTTTTGGATGAGTAGGAGCGTCTGCATCTGAATTTTAAGTACAGTCTCTTGAAAACACCTCGAAGACGAAAGATCTTTCAAAGCAGCAATTATAGCGGCAAAAAACTTGTTATCAAATTTATATATAATATTATCTATAAAATAAGGAAGCAAGTCTAAAATCTTCAACTTAAGCTTTATAAAGAAGTAAGTACACCATATCTAACTTTAGCATGATAAATAAGTTATACTAAAAATAATAACTGTATATTCTAATGCAAGAAATACATATTTACATGTTAGCAGCCTGGGACTTCTGGGAGTCTGGGACTTTATATTGGCAAGGCAAGGCAAGTTTATTTGTATAGCACAATTCATACACAAGGCAACTTAAAGTGCTGAACAAGACAAAATAGTATCAAAATCATAAATAATCACAGTACATTAAAAAGAAAACATTTTCTTTAATATTGTCAGAGAGGAGGCCTGTCTCACATCTTCAGGAAGATTGTTCCAGATTTTAGCAGCATGAATCTGAAATGTGGCCTCTCCATGTTTAGTTCTGACTCTGGAGTCTAGTCTATCAATCAATCAATCAACGTTTATTTGTATAGCGCCTTTCCTACACAAGGCAACGCAAAGCGCTTCACATCCCCTATCACATCATGCATAAATCAAACACATTAAGAGCACAAGATATATTAAAAACATTAAAAATAAAATCACAAAAATTAAAAACCTTTAAACATTAAAATCACAGATGGGACTAAAATCATAAATAGTCATAGTGCATTAAAAAGATTAAAGATAAAAACAAAGATGAAAAGATAAAATCATTCAGTTGTATATGCGCAGCTAAACAGAATTGTTTTGAGCCTAGATTTAAAGGATGCCAGAGTAGACGCCTGTCTCACATTCTCAGGAAGACGGTTCCAGACTCTAGCCGCATGAATCTGAAATGCAGTTTGCCCATGTCTAGTACCGACTCTGGGCACTAACAGGAGTCCAGTCCCTGTGCTCCTCAGAGTCCGGGTCGAGACCATGGAGAGACTTGTACACAAGTAAAGCTGCTTTGAAGTCTATTCTCTGAGGAACAGGAAGCCAGTGCAGAGACCTGAGAACTGGACTAATGTGGTCGTACTTCCTAGTTCTGGTCAGGACTCGAGCTGCTGCATGTTGAATGTACTGCAGCTGTTTTACAGCCTGTTTGGAGAGACCTGTGAACAAGCCATTGCAATAGTCTAACCGACTGGAGACAAAAGCGTGTATAAGAGTCTCCAAGTCTGCCTTAGACACTATGTTTTTAATTTTAGCAATGTTTTTTAGGTGGTAATAAGCTGCTGATGTTACAGATTTTATGTGGCTTTTGAAATTTAAGTCTGAGTCCATTATCACTCCTAGATTTCTGACCTGATTTGAGGGTTGTAGAGAGAGAGCCTGGAGGTGACAAATAACGCTCTCTCTTTGTTTCTGGGGTCCGAAAACAATTATTTCAGTTTTGTCGGTGTTTAGTTGGAGAAAGTTATTTTGCATCCAATCACCGATTTGCTGGACACAGTGAAGGAGCGAGTCCACTGGTTCATGCTCTCCTGCTGTCAGGGACACATAGACCTGAGTATCGTCAGCGTAATTGTGATAAAAGACATTATTACT